CCAAATCTCACATGGTGGTCTGGTGATGAGGATCTGGAGATTTACTTTAAATTTCAGGCTCTTTTCCTGTGACTAGCCTGTTTCAGGTTTGTCCTGCAATAGTGGAGCTGTGTAAAGGCGGAAGCCTAAAAAAAGAGATCAGACTTACACAAATGAAAAGCAGGAGTTCAGCTGACAGTACAAAGGAGCTAATGTATGGGTATTTTACCTTTTAAAATGATAGATAGACCAACAAGAGATGATATAGGGATAACACGTTCACTGTCTGGACTCAATGAACCTTCACAAAAAGTAGATAAACTTCCATTAAGATTGTTACAGATGTGGATTAAAAGAAATCTCTAAAATTCCTTCAATGGCTGCCTCTATTAGGAAAAGTTAGGATGAAGGCGGATGGAAGCAAATAGTCCCAACAGCAACATCCCACTGAGACTTATGCAATCTACTCTTGGCTAACGAGCGTTCCCATAGTAATGATGATGGTGCAGAAAGGGCCAAATCCCCTGTGAGCGCGCCTCTTTGCCCCCACAGTGTGACTAAAAGACGTTTGCTCTGCAGGGACCAGCTGACCCACAGGAAATTGAAGTGGAAGGTAGCAACGGGGGATTAATATAGCAGGCGGTGGCGCCTTGACCTTCAGCATTACGCATTTGTGAGCCTGAGAAGGTTGTTTTTCAGTTGGACTGGACGGCTGCCCATTGACAGACACTTTGTAAGTTGGGGTTGCTTTTTATGTGTGTGAACTAGAAACGTATAAAGAAAAACAGATTTAGGCTGGGAAATAGTTTTTAGATTTTACCACCTGCGCCAGCGATATAAGAGGATTAATTTAGGATGAACATTTGCAAAGTTTCAGTGTCTATATCTATGATTAAGTTATTTTTTTCATGTTCTATTTCTGTTTTTCAACTTATTCAGATTTTCCCTTTAAGCCTTAAAACACACTCTTCTCTTCTCCTCTTCAACTGGTTTCCATAAAACAATGTAAGAGAAACTGATATTTTAAAAGAGAGTGTTTATTTTTGAAAATATGTTTTTCTCTTCTTTCTATCCATTCTCCCAGAATGAACCTCTATGAAATTAAAACCCAGGAAGTACAGATTTATTCCAATAAAATATTTTGAAAAAATTTTCAGAAAAGTAATCTCTTAAATAAATACAGAAATTCGTTCTGACATTGGCTTTTCAGCTATATTCTAATCATTCATCACAAAATTGCGAGCTAACACGACAGGATGGGGGGGAGGCGTTACACTGCATCCTGCACTCCTTTAATCTGGTCTGAACCCGCAGCCCGTGCATCATGTCACTCACTGTGGCCACGCCCCGTCTGTCTCGAGTGACTAGTCAAAAAGTTCATCTGCCCCGGGGGTCGGTGTTTGTGGCCCAGAACAATGGAAAAGTACCCCACCCAGATCAGATTGGGCTGATTTGAATTCTGACCATGTCGGTTCCTCTGCTTCACATGCCATCGTTGTGGTTGAGTGTAGTCGGACCCACCCTCACAGAGTTGTGGCATGGCAGAGCAAAGTGCTCAGGTGGTGTTAACACATGCAAGAATATCCCTGGAAAGGTTTTGTTAATAGTCTTTGTAGCTTTTGATTTTGATGTGTTGGTTTTGGTTGAGGGGACTATTGTAAGAGTAAGTAACTATGAAAAAGACTCTTCATCTGTTTCTTCTCTACATGTTTTCCAGCCTGGTTCTGTAGCCACTGTTCTACATTTTCTGTGTTGTTGTAGATGTTCTCGTTGTTTTATATTCCGCATGTACAAATTGAGTTTAACTGGTGTTTACAGGCTTCAAGTGGAGGGCTAATGAAGCATCATAGCTTACATTAAATGCAGGAAGTACTGTTCTGTGGGACCTGGTCAGCTCAAATTTCACCTGAAAAAGAGTGGCAGGTATCCCCTTAATTTAACATGGCTTTCATTTTTGGCTGTTTCTTTTCAGACCTTTGACAAAGGGTGTGGCCTCCTTATTCATTATGAGGACTGAGAGGAGCAAGAACACCTCAGGTCACAAACAGGTGCACCTTTAGATGTTCATCCATGACAGCCGGTGGATGAGTGGGCACACCGTCTATCCTTCTTTGCCTCAGGGTTTCAGTGTGTTGCCTTACTGACTAATGAGTTTTGTCCTCTGTAAATCATGTTGGGTCAATGATGTTGGTTAACGCCTTGTTGATGTCCTTCCGTTCAGCTTAACATGTAATGAAATGACTGGGAAACCACAGATCAATCACTGACATTCATTTCAGGTCACTCAGGCAGATTAACACAAAGCAGACAGTAGCATTTGGGCTTTAATAAACGATGAGGTGGAACAGTTTTGCTCTGTAAGGAGAAAGATCCACCTGCCAGCACCTCAATGCATCTTCACAGACAATTAGACAGCACCCGAAAGACATCATGCCTCGCACTAAATCTTCCTTTCAGACAGCGGTCCACTCTCCACACTTATTTTATTTGACATGGAGCTGTAGAGAGTGGACAGCTGTGTGTGGACAGCGAGTTACAGGTGGTACACTCTGCATATGGCCACTTTTAAAGCTGCTCCGATAATAGCGATCTCAGTGAAGAGTGGTGAACATGTGCTTGTCTTCAGTGCTTCCGTGGTGCCTCAGAGGGAGATGACTCTGTGTGAGGTCAGATGTTCTCACAGGCTCATGAATGAAGCATGAGTGACGGTGTGGTCAGAGGACATCAAGCTGAGCTTGCATGCTTGTGTTGGGAACATGAGGCCATTAGTGACGTCTACTTTATTAATTAGTAACTAACTCTGAGTGTCAGGTGGCTGTAATGATGAAGCAGTGGGAGAATACCAGTAAGTGGATGGCGGAAATATGAAGTGTCAGAAGTCTGTAGAAAGTGGGCACAACTTGTTACCGAGTTGCATTTATTGCAGTTATCAGAATGGACTGATCTTTGATCAAATTTCACCATTAAGCTTTTTTTTTTTTTTTATAACCCCAGTTCCAATTGGAAGTTGTTTACAATTAGAGATTGGGGCTCTATCAAGACACATGAGATGTGTCAGATTTACCCTGTTTTCTGTTAGACTCAGATCAGATTACTGTAGCCATGTCGACTCTGGTGACACTGACAGATGTCCTAAAACAAAACAGTTTGCCTCAAACTGGTAGCAGATTTATCAATTGACATAATTTCAAGATTTCTTTTTAATAAGATATTGTTTGAATTCATGATTTTTTATTTTTTTTTATTTTTATCATTTGATTGTCATCGAATCGCATTCAGAGTCCCTTTATTGGTTTTAACATGTGGTCATTTCCTGTTACCACAAAGAATACAACTACCCTGTTTTTATTTTAGAGACAGTGCTCGTGGTTTTTAAAAGGTTGTAGAACAACCAGATAGAGATATAAATGACAGATTCCATCTGATGTGGGTTTTAATCCTGCCAGTCTTGTCAGTCCCTTCCATGTATTGTATATTCTGCCAGATCATATTCTTTAGTTAAAAAGCGGCTCCCAGGGAAATGGAGCGCATTGCTTTGTACTCTCTTGCTGTTTTCTCGAAAAATAATCATTTACGGAGGAAAACAGGGTACAAAAAATGGCAACAGAGGTTTTTAGATCATTCATTGTCATTGCCTGAATGCATCCCTGTTGTGGAATAACTCAGCTAAATGCTGTTGGTCATGTTCAGGGTGGTTGACATGGAAACAAAGGCCCACCTGATACAGTTACTGCATCACTCCATGACTACTGTGGATCCTGCTCTCCTTCTGCAGGTCCTGGTATCTGGGACAGTGCTGCTGATTTGCTGGAGCTTGATGAGTTGTTTTTCACTTAAAGGTACAAATTGCTTCCTGTTACTAATGGTGGAAAAATCTTGTTGGATCCTGTTGGCTGGCAGGTCCTGTTTCTGGCTGAAGTTACTCCAGGGATAAACTCATAGTACACTGATATCGAACAACTAAGTGATTTAGAAATGTTCTCCATCAAAGTTGAACATTTCTGCACCCATTTTTTTGTATAATTTCAGTATGATTGCATCAGTTTCAACAGTGGTATTTTGTATCTTATTTATGCGCTAAAAAGTCAACTGTTTTGGACAGTGTTTTTATTACTTCTAAAAAGGGAAGATTTGAGGTTGTCCCAGGCAGAAGACAACTCATGCCTGGGACAGTTCCGAAAGACTTTTTCTGCATGCAGGACTATTATATCATGTGTTTTCAGTTTGAGTAAACCATTTCAGTCTTTGCTGCCTTTCAAAGTGATTCAGATTAATTAGAAACTCAGTCTTGTTGAAGTTTAAAAACACTTGAATATGGCATTGAGGTGCATTGTCCATCTGTTTGACACAAAAGCCAACAAAAACATATCTACACAATATTTGACATATTTCTTAGATTTCCATTATCGCCATCATCTGTGGTTGCATAAGTCATCTTTTGACTTGAGAGCTGGTGAAAAGTGATACTTCATTATGTAACAGAAGCTAAGCTGTGTGTGTCACGTCTCAGCCAATTTTACACACCAGAGCCTGACTTCAAAGCCCTTCAACACTTTAAAAAAGGATTTGCCTTTTCCCTTAATGTGAGCTCCTTTGTCTGGGAACCTGTTCTCTTTGATCTGATCGGCCTCTTAATTTCCAATAATTCCAGTTTGTTCTTGATAACATGCATGACTACCTCAGTGTAACCCGTTTTTGTTTTTATTTCACAGCTCCATGGCTGTGGTTGCCCCCCGGCCCTTTTCTCTGGAAGTTAACCTTCAAAGGCTCTACTCAGTGCGATGGGTGACCAGCTGACTTGTGGAGATGGAGGGCATCAAACAGAGTGTTCCCTTCACTACGACTAGATGAAGGGACAACTGTCCATGTCCAGCTGGACGTTCTACAAACTGAATTGATGCACAAAAACCTCTATCAGGAAATTATTTTTCATTTTGACCTATCATTTATTTGCTTTTTTTTTAAACCTCCGTCTCAGCATATATATTGCATGCTGAGTGTACATCTCTGTAATCCTTGTTATGAGTTGTTCATCCACACCCAATGAGCCAGAGAGCTGCAGCAGTGAGGGGAGCAGCTGCACCACCTCCTCCATCACTACCTCTGACCCGTCCTCTATATCTGGACAGACTAACTCCTCGCTGCCCTCCCTGACCGATGCCTCCAGCAGCACCCAACACGAGGCTCCACCGCCCCCTCCCCTCCCTCCCCCTCCCCCTCCACCTCCATCAACCACTTCCACCAGCCATAATGTGAGGAAAAAGCGCCGCGTGCGGAGTTTCTTCTGGAAGCCGATCCCGGAGGAGAAGGTACAAGGGAAGGCCAACATCTGGACAATGGCGGTGCGCCAGCAGCAGTACCAGATCGACGTTCGCTCTGTGGAGGAGCTTTTCGGGCAACAGGAGGAGTCCGTGACGGGCGTACGTGGGTCAACTTCAACAACTGGAACCTCAGCTCGAGTTTCAAGGTCTCGCTCGTTTAAGGAGGGCAGGAAGGATGAGGTGAGCAGGTGTTACGAAGCTGCAAGAATGCCACCTGACAAATGTGGAAAGAGCCTGTGGTACTCTTAACAAACATTGTCCACCTAATCAGAGTATGAGAAAACGAGTGTTGGTTAATATAGTTGGGATGAAAAACTGCATAAGAAAGGAAAGACGCGCAGCTCAATACTCTGCTGACGCTTTCTACAATGTCAAGACATCCCTACAGGGAGTAGTTGGATAACAGTGATCTGTTACAGCTCACCTTTGTTCTTTTAAAACAGTTTGTTTTCGTGAGGAGAGTAAAGGCATTATTTGGTCTGTTATGTTCTCATGGGAAGTCACATGTGCGCCGGAAAACAGCACCTGCATGAGGAGAACTTATTGCCGTTGGTCAAATCTAACATTTTTGGCGGTAGATTCATAGGAAGCAGCAATCTGCACACAGTGCAAGCACAATGTTTTTTCTGCTTTTTATAACCAGAGGGAGTAATCCTCACTCTTGAACAGATCTTGGACTTCTTGAAAAACATCATACGTTGTCCAACCTTTTCTATTTTTCTTACTTGTTAGTCTCAATTCATCGTTGCATGGCCCCTGTCCTACACACTCAATCACAAAAACTCATAAGCTGCTTTTTAAGGTCTCCAAAAGATTCTAATTACATTTGCAAAAACGTGTTCTCTGCATTACTTTCAGCACTAAAGCAGACAGACAAACGCTAGACTCGGATGTTAAACTTTTCTTACAGGACTGATGTGAAAATTAAATGAACACATGGTTAAATCATTGCACTGAACTACACATTTAGGAAGCCACACAAAATAAAAAAAGATGGGTACTCTTAAACATCAGCAAAACATTACACAACATCCTCGGGTGTAAGGAGGTTACATGGTAACTTTAATCTGTTCTCTGTGTCACCGACTCAAACCACAGAGGTGTCTGATTGCATGTAAAAGCTACAATTAGTCCTCTTTAAGAAGGATATAATGGACATTCAGGGAAAGCATTAGGGAGGCACGAACCAGTCATGTGGCTCAATAGAATTTGTACCTCAAACAAAAAATAGGCCTCGTTCATAGAAGTGGGCGTGGCTATGTGTGCCCTATGCATCTTTTTAACCGCAACTTAACAAAATCATGTGTTAATTTGTCTTTCGCCTTCTTTTTTTCAGATCAGCATCCTTGACTCCAAAAGGGGCATGAATGTGGGCATTTTCCTCAAGCAGTTTAAAAAGTGAGTCTTTCACATGAGAAAAACTGAGTGGTGCCTGTTGTTTGATTTGAGTTGTGATGATCAGATTGGTCTAAATTGATGTACAGCTGGGTACTCAGAGCGGGCTGCACATAGTGTCATGAGCTACTCCAACACTATTTATAGGTTTGGTTAAATTCTCTGTAGAAGAAACGGTATTTTCCGAAAAAACTGTTTACTGTCTTCCATCTGGTATAATGTCTTTCTTTCTTTTAAGAAAGAAAAACATTAGAATAAAGCTCCAGAACTTGTAGGGGAAACCTGAAAAAAATAACATCATCAGAAAAGAAAACAACAACAAGCATATGTCATCTTCATTTTTGGTTTGTTTATCGAGTACATGTTAAAGAGACAATGAAAAAAATATAAACTAAGTACTCTGAAGATGTGCCCATATCTTGCTCCATGTTTGTTATCCTATCTCTGATTAAATGTAGTTGGAGTTGAAAACTTAGGGGAAATTTCGTGATAGTTTCTTTTCTTTTCGTGCTTCCACATGGCTTTCTCTTTTTTGTTTTTCATTTACATTTATTTCTATTTCAGTATATCGTAAAATCTCTCAACCGGACTAAGCATTGATTGGTTGAGTTAAGTAAAGAAAAAAAAAGTCAATTCTGCGTCTGTTTCCATGACAGTTTATTTGCATAGCTCCCCACTGTATTTTAATGCCATTTGACTGACCTGTGCGGCACAGAACAGCAGCAAGACCAAGTGTGAGCAATGACCTCATCACAGGCGGAGTTTAATTTTTGCTGTGGTTTTATTTCAACAAACAGTTCTATGATCCTAATTGGAATAAGCAGGTATTGAAGAGTAGTGGATAGATGTTTTAAATAAGGTCTAGATAAGTCAATTTAACTCAAGTCCATGCCATTAATTATGTGAACAGTCTTTAAAGCACTTAGACTTTACTTCCGTATAGTTCTGCTTCTCATACAGGAAGATGTGACATTAGACCTTATAATATAGTTTTTCATGATCTTTGTATTTGTTTCCAGGATAGTTACACCGTTTTATCCCTCTTGTTGTCTTGTAGATAAAAATGCAAAACAAACTCCGCCTGTTGAGCTGAACTCATACTAATTTCTTTAGTCAAGAAACTATGAGTGTCAGAAAGCCTGCATGTGTAAATTAGTCTAGCATATGTATTTGGTTCTGTTTGTTTTTTAACAGAGCATCATCATACAGCAGGTATACAGATTGGACAAACATTCATGGATGAATGAATTAGGTATTTGAAAGGATAAATCACCAATTTTTATTGTTGATGACACCAAACCAAACAGGACCAACAAATGAAGTGTGACTCGTCTGAGTCTGGTACCTTTGTAAACCTTTGCAAGCAGCAGGCATTCACAGAGAGCACCTGTGCACTGAAACATTGCCTAACCAAACCATCTGTCTTTCAGGTCAAACCGCGCCATTGTTGAAGACATACGGCGAGGAGAGGGAAAGTTTTATGGTGCAGAGCTGCTCAAAGACCTGCTGAAGCTCCTGCCTGACACAGAGGAGGTCTGTTTGTCTGTCTGCCTGTGTGGCTCGCATGAAAGTATGAATGGCAGAGATGATTATCAAAGAGAGTTCATGTGAAGTGAAAACAATAGTTCCTGCTGAGCTTTCTCTTTCTCTTTATTTTCTCTGCAGATCAAGAAACTACAGGCATTCAAAGGAGATCCAGACAAGCTGACACTGGTTGATTCCTTTATGTACCTATTAATCCAGGTGCCACGGTAAGTTGATTTCAATGGTGATGCGCTGCTCGTTTCAGGTTTCCTTCAAACAGGCATGTGAAGTCAGCAGTATGCCATTAAAGGAGCATGAAAGGTTTATGCTTAATTGCTGGGCAGTTTCATAATTTCCAGGGGAATTTCCAACAAACTTGCCCTACTCTGTTGACATTTGTATTTCAACAGGTAGATGGGCTGTTTGCTTTTTATCCTCGTTGCAGAATGCACTTTTCAACCATTTTCTTTTTGGAGCATTTGACTTCTTGAAACTTTTTCACTGACAATATTCATTGGAGACAGTATTGGAATAATTCAGAGGATGTTTGCAGGATTGTGCAGATTAGATGGACAGAAGCACAGCATGTGTCAACTGAACCAAACAAACCAAAGGAAGTCATTTATTTAGCGTTCATAGTTAGACATCTGTGTGAAAGTAATTTAAAGTAAATTATAGGATAACAACATAATCTCTTCCTCAAATCAGCCAAAGATAAAGAAAGGTGTGCTCCCTGTCCCTCCATTGATGATCATGGTTATGCTTAAAGGGTTGACCTATACTTTTACCTCAAACCCCTTTTGCTCGTTCTGACAGGTTTGATGTCCAGATCGAGGCCATTGTACTTCGTGAAGAGTTCTTCCCCTGCTGTGCTGTGATGGGCCATGACATTGATGTTGTCCGTATTGCCACCAAAGGTAGTGGCGCACTGGTTCTTCTACCCACAGGCACACACACACGCACGTTAAGACAGGTGACCCAGAAATTTGAGCTGTCAGAGGTCGTGTCACACATGATACAGCCACGTGGGAAGATAATGGAAAAAGAAGTCTGACATGTTTCTGTCTTGGACTTGTTATCAGCCCTTCGAACACCACTGTGCTTTCAGCTAAAAGCTTACATGAGCTGCCAATTGTCTGATTATCCTACAACACAATGTTTAAACTAATGGAAATGTTATTTTCTGGAGCTATAGTTTTGTAAACTGCATGTCTTGAAAAATCCCTGAAGTTGTCCCATTTTCAAGTCTGATTTGTTTAATTACTACTACTGGTTAGCTACTGGGTCCATTAATTCGCATTGTAGTATCAATACCTTCTTGTTAACTCACAATTTATTGTGAGTTGACCAAGAAACTTATTGGACTTATTCTTATGCCGTCAATTGAGCTGCTGGTTCGTTTTAGCTGAGTCACACAGGCTTCCCACTTTGTGCTGTGTTAGACCTTTTCTTAAAACCCTCCTTTACAGTACCATGACCCTTTCCCTGCATTGCAGGACAATCAGTTAAATACTGCACAAGACTATAAATCGGTGCTTTTATGACACAATTTAATTAAAACTTTCAGCATTTACTCTTACAATCAGTACTAAAAGGACAGATATTGAAGCAGGACCAGAAATTTCACTTAAGTAATGATGGATCTAGAGAGCAGACAATATCGCTGGTCATAAGTTTCCTATTTGGTGATGTTTGATGAAAATTAGATAGTGTCCAAAGTGTCTCTAAATGAGTTTGTATTGATCTCATCCTGTAGAGCTGATGAGCTGCGAGGAGCTCCATGCCATCCTTCATCTGGTGCTGCAGGCTGGAAACATCATGAATGCGGTCAGAGCTGTTAAACTTTAGCATTGATGCCATAATTCCCATCTCTAGGTTACATTATTAGGCCAGTTTATTCTGTTTATGTAAAAAGAAAATGTATATATTCCAAAAAAACACATCACAGATACATTTCTTACAATAAAATGGTTTATTTAACAAAATGTTGACCTTGTAACTTTAACTAAATATCTTTTGGACAGCAGCTGAAGTCTGTAGCATGTAAATATGACTTTAATCATGTTTTTCCTGTTTTGTCTGTCAACAATGTGCTGTATTTCTGTATAACTGATCCCTAAACTGCTGTTAAACATCATGTTTACAGGGTGGCTATGCAGGAAATGCTGTGGGATTTAAGCTGTCATCTCTCCTCTCATTGGCTGACACAAAAGCCAACAAGCCGGGGATGAACCTTCTGCATTTCGTCGCTATGGTAAGAAAAGCTGTGCCTGTGCATGGTGCACAACACGATTACTCTTTTAGTTGTGTGACACCAAATCATTTACATACATTCTTATTTTTAATAGAAATTGTCATTTTTTCAATGGAATATTCTACTCTGCATTCAGAGTGCTGTTTTTCAGCTGAGGTTTAATGAAATACACATTTTAGGTACTTTAAAAGCAGATCAGGATAAGCCTCTAGTCTAACCTGAAAGAAATCTGGTAATAAAAATAAAGCAAGTTACCGAGATTCTCTAAAACCAGTGATGCTTGAAAGAACTGTCCATCCACTGTGACTACAGGGGACAGGTGGACAGCAGATGGTGACAGGAAACCGCAAAAAGCAAAGACTGGCTGCCAAACCATTATGTAACTGAACAGAAATGACTGTGGCCCTTCAGGACATGGCGCTTTACCTTATACAACACCCAACAACTTTTCTATGTCTCTACACAGGAGGCAAAAAAGAAAGACGAGAAGCTTCTCAAGTTTCCAGAAAAACTTCAGGATGTGCAGAGCGCTGCCAGGTAAACAAAGTCACATTGTTTAGTTTGTTTATACTGAGACTACATGTAGGTGAAAGCCTACAGAAACACTGCAACACAACCTCCCACCTGTACTGCATGTGTTGGTATTTCAACACAGTTTTGTACACTGAGTACACAAGGCAATCAAAAGCTGTCAATCAACACGGCTTCGGGAAGATTTAAAAACATGGACTTGTAATTTACAGTGACCTCAAACATGATTATTAGAGTGCCAAGATTTATTGCTTGAGACCACCGTCACCGTGGTTAAAAAATATTGATGCTCCGGCATCGGCCATACCTTCTCCCCACCTACCCAGCCAAATGGTCAAATACTGGTTTAGATTAATTATGCAGATAAGTGTAAGTAAATGCCTTATAGTGACAGTGCAGGGGTTATGTCATGATGGACACAGCAAAGTCTAACCTCATCACCCATGCTGCCATCTAACTTTAGTGCAGCGTTATGAGGATTGGGAGTATGCCACAGTGTGACTGTCAGAATCAGTTAGCTTCACAAGGTCTGTCTGTGTGGTGTCAGCACATCTCCTGCACATCACAGCCAACTCTGCTCCTCCATTTATTACCCAAGATACAGCATTTCCTACCAGACCTGTCTTGTTTTTGGGTTTTTTTTTAACTCACCAAAATGCTGATAAATTGCAGTCAGCTTTGTTCTTGTAATAGACATGTAATAACCTCAGCAAAGTCAGTGTTTCTGATCCATCCTCTGTTTTCATGTAGAATTTCAGTGGAAAACATCGAGCTGGAGTTTTCCTCCTTGTTTGTTCGAATAAAATCCCTGGAGGAGAAAGTTCAAGGAGACCAGGAGTTACTGCAGCAGCTGGATCCCTTTCTGCAGGTGAAGCAGCAGCAGTTATGTAACACACCATTCACAGACAGAAAGTTGGATCCAGGCCACTGTACATCTGCTGACTCAACCGCTACAGATGGGGGCATCTTTAAAAGAGTTTGGGGGGAAATTAAAAAAGCAAATGTGTTTGTCTTGTCTTGTCAGAGCTCAGCACAGACACTTCAGGACTTAAAGAGGCGCAGGCTGGATCTGCGTAAAGAGGGAAACGCCCTCATTGATTTCTTTTGTGAGGACAAGGACACCTTCAAGCTGGATGAATGTTTCCGCATCTTTCAAGACTTCTGCATGAAATTTAACAAAGCTGTTAAGGTCAGTTTAGGTGAAAGGATTAGCTTGTCTCATTACTAATAGTTTTAATGGTTTTTCAGAGGTACATTTAGTTTTTCATATGAAACTGCTGCAGTGAACTGAATGTGTATTAAGACAGGGAAACACTGTTTTTGTCAGCATTCAGCATTCATTTTTTCAGCAAGGCTTCACCTCACTGTATGTTTTTTTTTTTTTTTTTCGAATTCAGTGTCCATGTACTGCGGATAAAATTAGATATTTACAAAAGGTTGAAAAAATAAATTCAGTTTGCTGGGCAAAAATGTATCAAAGTGTCACCTAAATGGATGATTTTAGAGGCATCAAATGTTCTGGGACAACAAAGATGAGCCGCCCTGTTTGTGTCTCTTAGGAACCAACAATCAGTGAGCTCATTAGCATTTAGGATGCTCCGCTTTGAACACTAATTGTTGTGGGGATGAAATTGACAGAATATGTGCACAGTATCAATCTTTGCTCAGCTTTGCTGTTTGTCCGCTTGCAGAGTAGATTTCCTGTACCGTAAACAAAATATTTCACTTTGAATAAGTCAAATCATTCAGATGACGTGTGTATAAATAACAGCATCTGTGTTTACAAAAGCAGCAAAACCAGTTTTGTTTTCCCCTTATGAGTGACCCTTATGATCCTGTGATGGAGCCAATAAGTTTTGTCTCCATCAAATAGGATATGACTTAAATTTAGTCACCGTTGTGAAAAAATTTTTTTTGTTGTTCTTGTATGGTCCATCCTTTACGAATATCTCCCTCTCTGCCTCTCTTAGGACAACAAGGACCGCGAGATGAAGGAAGCCGCCAGGCAGCAGCGCCTGAGAGAGCTGGAGGAAAAGCGCTTTGCGTGGTCGGGGGAAGATCAGAACAGCGTGTTTGGTCGCAGCAGCAGCGAGAGCGACGTTGAAATGCTCACCAAGGAGGGCCTTCTGGACTTCTTCCAGAAGAGGTCTCAGAGTCCACACAGCCCGCTCGGACGCTCGGCCAGCGCCCGTCGCCACCGCCACACCATGACCTCCATAGCCGATCGTGAGCTCCAGGGATACCTTGAGCTGTTTGGAGGGGCAGGAAATCCCACCGACGATTCCAAGTTTCACAGCTTGCCGCGGCCAGGGCGCCCCCCGCAGAGGAAGACGACGCCGTGGATCTTCGGCCAGGACAACAGCCGTGAGCTGGGCTGTGACCGACAAGCCACGTCCCCGCATGCAGAAACGGAACCCATCAGCCCGCTGGCCAGGTTTTCCTCCTCTGGCCTAAAAGACAACGAGGATCCGTATGACAACAAATACACATCTGTGTCCGAAGGCAGCGTTCTGCCTCGTTCCTTATGTGTCTTTCAGAAACCCGCCCATCTACCCAACCCCCCTCTCACTGGCCATTTGAATATTAGTGTGGAGAAGCATACTTTAGTACAAGGTCCTCAAGCTTTTGACCTATCAAACAACAACAGTGATAATATGCACTTTGTCAGGCAGGAGGAAGTTGTTGTGACAGAACTCGATAAAGAAACACTATCGCCCTCCAACAGTCTCCCTCACCAGGACATTTCAGAGGTAAAGGCAGAATTAAAGGACCTGTGTAAAGGTAATGGAGATTCTTCCACACAGGCTGGGCTTTCCTCTGAGAGGGACAAGGAAGAAGACGACTACAGCACAATTTCCTCAACAACCTGTGGCACCCCGCTGCCACTGGACACGTCTGTGTCCAGTAAGAAGCAGGTGTTTTACATTCTAGACTGTACAGAAACGGACTGCTCCGTCACTTTGGACTGCTCTGAGGTCGAAAGCTTGTCGCATGCAAACGAAAGACTTCATCTCCAAACTGACGGCAGCAATGCCCTGGACAGCCAGCAAGACCCAAGCTCTCTGTCCTCTAATTTGGAATCCATATCACCGAACGAGCAGTCCGTCTCCGCCGCTGAGCTGTCAGCCCCCCCGTCTGCGGACGCGGCGTCCATGACTCCATCTGCTACCGCAGAAGAGTGGGACACGGAGAGCTGTGACACGGCCGAGGGAAAACAGGGAGCACAGAAAGATGCACAGAGAGCGAACAAAAAACCGGCGCCACCAAAGAGCGGCAAAGCGGCCAAGGGTGGCATAGCTCGAGTCGTGCGGACACTGACCAGCAGCGAGAGCCAAGGCATGCGCAAAGTCGTGCCCATCAGCAAGGTGACCAGGACCGGCAGCAAGCGCGCCGAGAGGCCCGACAGCGGGGAGAGCAGGCGGCCTCTCCGGGACCAGAGCACGCCCGCCAGAGTCAGGAGCGAGAAGACGCCCAGGCCCCCTCGCCATTCGAGTTTGCCTCCCGAGGACTCGAAGGTCCAGAGGGGGGGCAGCCTGACGGGCAGGGTCTCTAAGTGGGCGCGCGATTCGACCCAGAGGAAAGCTTCCTTTAACAAGCCGAGCGCCAAACCCCTAAGGAACATCCCCAAGTCTGCGCCCGAGGAGAAGATGTGCCGTTCCACCATGCGAGCGCTGGCCCAGGCCCAGGCCCAGAGCCCGGCGGCTGCCCCCTCAGAGAACAACAGCTCCACCACGCCCAGCGTGAAAAACTCCTCCGACCTCCCCAACTTTGCTCGAAACACCGTGGCCTCAACCTCCAGGACCAAGAAGGAGCTGGCCCCCCCGTCCGCCCCCACCACCCCGGCCCGCAGCCCCTCCCTCCGCGGCCGACAGACTTCTACCAGGCAGAGCCGGGTGTCCCCGGCAGGCCCCGCCGGCGAGGAGAAGCCGCAGGCCACCACCCTGCGGCGTGTGCAAAGCGTGAAGGCGGCCAGCCGCAGCGCCTACCGCAGCGACACCCCGCCGCCGCCCGCCAGGCGCCAGGACGTCCGCAAGACCAGCAGCTTTTCCGAAAAGTCCCTTCAGCCGCGAGACCTGTTGTTCAGCAGAATCCCAAAGCCGAGCTGGAAGTGACAGCAGAGGCCAAACTGACTGCAAGAGACAATCCGGTCCAAAAGGCTGGTTCACATCACTGTTCATGATGCAGAGTTACGCTCTGACCACATGCAAAACACAAGAGTAGATAAAAGAAGCACTACGTTGTCTCAACCGATAAGGTTCCCCCAGTAGCTGACTCCTTCAGGTTTACAAATTGCTAAGAGCAAGATGCAATAAACGTTGTCGTAGTTCTGTTTTCTTTGCACAGATGTTGCTCGCAGGTTCCTTTTTTTATTTTTACCGCAGCTGACAAACGGCATGCTTTTCCGCAGAAGCCTTTTTGCCCGCTTAGGTCTGTGTACAGTACTGTTTGTGCTAATGTCTGTGGTGATGAAGATGTTGAACACAACTCACTATATAATGCTGCTAATTGGCTCTGACAACTCAGGACTGAGATATCTCAGCCTTTTCTCCTGGCCGCTGTCTTTCTTTTTTTTGCTGCGTCCTCGGTCAGACTCGACACTGATTTTTTTTTTCTTTTCCTCCCGGCCTTGTGGTTTATTGCTTGATACCTCAGAAAGACCATAGTGGTCTTGTAACAGAAGAAAAATGGCTTCTTTGGTTCTGCATGATCAGTTTTAACATGATTGCAATGCCAGATCTTTAAAAGTCTCTGGTTTATTAATGCTACTACACTATAGAACTCATCGATATTATGCCAGTGTACACCAGTGGTACCTCTTGTACCGTGTTTATGTAAGTGTCAGTAGTTTGTAAATGTACAACTCCTCCATAACGTCATGGAGTCAACGTGCTCGTGAGTAATGTCTCCTTTTTAGACTAATATACAAGAAATGTAAAAGAAAAGCATTTAACTTGTGTCTGCAACACCACTGAATGTATCACTGGCCCTGTGGTTCTTTTGAATGTCTGTGATGTCAGCACCACTGAAAGCCCTGAATGTTCACAGTGCAGCTGGCTCCCACGTTGTTCTCCTCATCTACTGTCACATTCACATCAGCACAGAGCCAGCCGTTGAATTTTCTGAAATATAACTGTTCGAAGAAAGACTCCCAGGTGGTTTTAAAAAGTTTTGATTCGAACATTGTTTTTCAGAAAAGCAGACCCTGGCCTCTGTGGTTTAAATGTACTCGTACTTCACACCACTTGCCTTTCAAACTGCACTGTGCCATTGCGTTGATGGCAGCCACACTCACAGTGGCGCGTTACCTTAAAGCTTGATGTAGCCAACTGATCACCTGTAGAGCCTCTTTGATTGTAATAAAAGCAACTTTTCTACATTCCATCACGTCGACCTGAAACAGAGACCTCACCACTGACTCACTTTGTATATCATTGCATTGTATGACTATCGATATGTCTACATATCATAACAAGTGGAGGACGCGCGAGCACCAAAGTTTTAGACTAACCTCTGTCAGGCAGTTTAGAGGCCTGACCCGCAGTGTGTTGGCATGCCGTGGGTGTCTTCCTGTTCCCTGTGATGCAAATGAGGCTGATGAAAAAAGGCCCGGCGTGACGTGCGCGGGATCTGCATGTCTTTTAGATTGAGATCCTCTATCACTCCCAATCGAATAAACAAGCGTCGCCTTTCGTTGTGGACTCTTTAAGGTGCCGTGTCCCTGTTCCCTTTTGTTTCAACGATTCCTCCCAACATCTGTCCAACCTGCTGAGCTAAGCAACAAAGCTACTTCACACTCGGAAAACATATCTGAAGGCCTCATTGTAAGAATCGACTTTAAACACTGATGATGAGTCATTCGGAAAAGAGAAAAAATACAATTATTTTGAAACCATGGATGCTTTAGGGAAGGTGGGTTCCCACAATAAGCTGCTCTGCCCCCTGAACGTCCTCCTTTGTGTGTCACACAATGCCCCCTGCTGCCTTGCCTTTTAACAGCCTCAGGCCCCACAATGCGTGCCCTTTACATCGCATCTCACTGGCTTACAGCAGCGCAGCTGATGTGGGATTTGCATACCTACTTGCCCTTTTTGCCAACGACTTCCTCGTTGGCGGACAGTAACTATGGAAACAGTTCAAACTTATTTTACGATTATAAACTAAAGGCTTAGTAAAAAACCAAAAGGTCAGTGCTCTGGACTAGCTTTTCTCACAGTAAAAAGGCTTTGTTTAGCGCCTCTCTGGCTGAATCTTCTTATTTTTTGTGTTTCTCCGCGGACACTAACAGGTGTCGTTGCCGTGCGAGTGGATAAAGCCACATTTATTTTACCCAAGGTTGGGTTTTGTACTCTGGAGAGGAATGACTAGATGCAGTGAGGGTTCAGACTGTGATGTGATGCTCAGAAATGCAACGGTTCACATATCTGCTGTATTCACAACTAAGACAAACAGGTGTTCTTCTCCGGTTCTTGGTTGTTTCAAATCTGAATTCCCGCGATGGACAACAAAATACTGAGCGAACCATCATCTGTGATCACTGGACCGCATGGCTGCAGCGTGAAACATGCTGTTTATTCAGAGTTTATTTCTCTGACGACAACACTGAAGACATGAATAAAATGACATGTTGCTGTGGAATGTACTCTTTGCTTCTTTTGATTGAACACTTGGATCCTGCTTAGTTATAAAGTTTTTAAGTGGCCTGCTTTTACTGGGCAGTTCCCTGAATGCAACATTTATTCGGACACCAGCTTTTAGTATACTGGGAGCTGATGTACTTTTATTACACAAAAAATATTAAAATCTCTTATTATTTGAAAACGTCATGTTTTTATTACTTAATCAGATCTTGACATATTGATTTAAAATATATTGTTACACAATCTAATCTTCTAAATAATGGTCTTAAAGCTGGGATGGACTCCATTTCCCCAATGACTCCACTTGGAAAAATCATGATAGACAGTGAATGAATGATTAATACAAATATTTTATTTCTTTCTATATTTGTGCATAACGCTGACCAAAGCGTCATCCCTAAATCTCAGTTGGAAATACATCATGCTATCATTTTCAGGGAAACTGGCCTATTTAGCTGGTAGCAATATGTAAACAATCCCTTTCAGCATCACATCAGCAGTTGGTACTTTCCTATAAGACATAACTCACTTCAGGCCGTTCCAAAACATTTACTGGATTAGCATCAGGATTTCTTCTTAATTTTTCTAAAGATAATCATGATTCAATAATCTGTCAGTAGTACTTTGTTCTGGCCCAGATGTAGCGGAACAGGGACAAACAATGATGTTTCCATCATATTGTTTCACAGAAACTGTTTTCCTTTCTTCAAACATAACACTTCTCAAACAAACAAAAATAAACTTGAATTCATCCATCCATCCATTATCAATACCGCTTATTCCCTGATGGGGTCACGGGGGGAACTGGAGCCTATCCCAGTGGTCAACGGGCGAGAGGCAGGGTACACCCTGGACAGTCCACCAGTCCATCGCAGGGCCACACACAGGACAAACAACCACATTCACATTCACTCCTAAGGGCAATTTCCCCAATCTCCAATCAGCCTAACATGCAGGTTTTTGGACTGTGGGAGGAAGCCGGAGAACCCGGAGAGAACCCACGCAGACACAGGGAGAACATGCAAACTCCACCCAGAAGGACCCTGGTTCCCCCGGGATTCGAACCCAGAACCCTCTGGCTGGGAGGCGACAGTGCTAACCACCACACCACCGTGCTGCCAACTTGAATTCAGTATTGCAATATTCTTTCTGATACCCAGTAAAGCAGCAGAAAATCTAATGATGGAAAAGGGCAGCTTTTATCAGTGTGGGTTTTTTAAGCTTTTTGCAGTTTATCCAATCGGATTAGTGAACCATTTATAGACTCTTTCCAAACCGTTTCTGGATGGATAAACACTTTTTCTGAGGTGTTAAAAGCTACTTTGTTTATCCAACAGTGGTCTTACACATTATGAGGAAAATCAGATTTTGATCTCTCCCTGTTCTTTAAACAAAACAGACTGCACAAACTCCCTCGACACAAACTCCTGGTACACGTTGTGAATGAGAGCTGTGGGTTTTGTCTCTTTACACCACCAGAGTGCAGCAGAGGATCTTGTGTCAGCTGCTCAGGAAACATTAGACAACTGTTCAGCTCACAGAACACATGAAGAAAACGACTGAGTAGTCTGCAATGACTACTAATACAAATTGTATTTCTCAGAAAACTAAAGGAAACTGTTCTTCCATCTGAACACAGTGTTCATAACTAAATACGATATTTTTGTCTTTACTGGTAAAATAGTCAAAGAATGAGTTATTTTCCATGAGACCTTTGGCATTTAAGTTAAATGTTCCTTGTCAAGACTCATAAAAATCTTTTTCAAATATGAGACTAGACCTTTCCACTTTTCTTTATTATGATTTTAGATGTTAAAGTCTCTCAAAGATTCTTCAGAATAATGTAGGATTTTTATGTTTTTTATACATTGCATATTTTTCTGTATTAGCAGTAAGATAGTCAATAATAGTGGTTCTACCAGTATGCTTTTTCAATCACACGTTCAGCTAATGAATTCTTATTTTCAACAGTAAATGTTGAAAGGTTCCCAGAAGCCTTTTAAAATAGCTCTTTGTATCTCGTTAGCTCAAACACTGTCCAGCATCATTTTGTGTTTTACTGAATTGTGTGAGCTATATCATGATATCGCAGGAATCCGTATAACATGCAAAAAGAGAGAGAAAGAAAACTAAGTGATGGTTGCCTTCTACAGTCCGCTGTGGGGCAGAGCTCTGAGGTGTGGTGCTTTGCACGGTCATGAGCAGCAGCAGGTCATTGGGCAGCACGGGCTACTACTCAGGATCAGGCACCGCGCAGCACAGGAGGTCAGACCGCGTGTGACTTGGCACGTTTATCTCCAGATCAGAGTCGCTGCGGCCATGTGCAAGAGATAATGCTTCCTTCAATCCCTCCTTACCCTGGAGCTCAACCCAGCACCTGAAGAGGAGGATCTGCTTTCACTCTCCTACGGGGAGAGCCATATCATCTCCACACTACACGATATCTGGAGCTGGGTGGGAGTGTTTGAATGATT